GCAACAAGAGCACACAACATAGGGCAACAAGAGCACACAACATAGGGCAGCAGAGCACACAACATAGGGCAACAAGAGCACACAACATAGGGCAGCAGAGCACACAACATAGGGCAACAAGAGCACACAACATAGGGCAGCAGAACACATCACATACATATCAACATGACACAAACAATTATTGCCTGTTTTGCTCCACTCATGTTAATCACTATAAATTTTCAGCTAATAAGCTAAATTAATATGCAGAATATGCTCGTATATACTGGTATATGCATTATTCCATTTTTTAAAAGTATTTCTAGTCATATATTGACTCTCCCCCTACTGAAGTTATTGAAACTAGCCAACACTATGGGAGGGGAGAGGGAGATGCCATACTCAAGCATCGAGTGGCACTGACTAGCACCCTGGGCTTTATAAAAGGATGGGTGTCGTATGGCACTGACCTCCCAGCAAGGAAAAGCAATAATTGGTTGTAAAAATGGATCAATGGTGTCGAATGGGCCGTCAAGCGTTTGCAAGCATTTTAATAACATTGATTTTTACGAGACCTTTTTTTTTTTTTGTCAGCGTAAATTTCAGCAACTCATTGGTGCAGTCCGCTGAAATAAAATTAACATCCACATAATAACAAGCCAGGACCAACCCGAGAGAGAGAGAGAGAGAGAGAGAGAGAGAGAGAGAGAGAGAGAGAGAGAGAGAGAGAGAGAGAGAGAGAGAGAGAAGGGGGAGAGGGAGAGGGAAAGAGGGGAAAGAGTATATGCAAGCAAGCAAGCAAGCAAGCAAGCAAGCAAACAAGCAAGCAAGCAAGCAAACAAACAAGCAAGCAGAAGGCTTGGAGTTCAGACCATACTCTGTGCTGAGGGGATGTACTTCTATCTAGATTGTAGACTAACGTGTATTATATAGGCGTAAGTCAAAGATAGAAAAGGAAAGGGAGTTACCTGGAGGTTATTCCGGGGATCAACGCCCCCGCGGCCCGGTCCATGACCAGGCCTCCCGATGGATCAGGGCCTGATCAACTAGGCTGTTACTGCTGGCCGCACGCAGTCCAACGTACGAGCCACAGCCCGGCTGATCCGGCACTGACTTTAGGTATCTGTCCAGCTCTCTCTTGAAGGCAGCCAGGGGTTTATTGGCAATTCCCCTAATGCCTGATAGGCTGTTGAACAGTTTTGGGCCCCGGACACTTATGGTGTTTTCCCTTAGTGTACCAATGGCGCCCCTACTTTTTATTGGGGGCATTTTGCATCGCCTGCCCAGTCTTTTACTTTCGTAGGAAGTGATTTCTGTGTGCAGATTTGGGACCATTCCTTCCAAGATTTTCCAAGTGTAGATTATGATATATCTCTCCCTCCTGCGTTCCAACGAGTACAAGTCAAGTGCTTCCAAGCGTTCCCAGTAGTGAGTACATATATGGAAAAGATAGATAACCGAGGACCTGGAAGTCCACAGTGAGGCTCTCTGCTGAAAAGAATGATCTACTAAGTAGATTCAGGACTATAGTGTATTATCTAGGTGCATGAGTCAAGGAGGGAAAAGGAGAGAATGAGGGTGAGAGAGAGAGAGAGAGAGAGAGAGAGAGAATGAGGGTGAGAGAGAGAGAGAGAGAGAATGAGTGGTTCATTTGAAGAAAGCTTTTGTTGGCTGCATGTGACAGTCATTACCCTTAAGTTTTTACTCTCCCGTTACCAAGTCTCTGTTACCCATTAATTATCCAATTTTTGCTGGGGATAAACACCGCAGCACACAGCGCCAGGCAAACATTCATGTCTACACAGAGTGAATCTTGCAAACTCTGTATCTAAAACATACACCAACAGCCAGGGGAAACAAAAAAAATCTAAATTCCCGTATTAATTGCGACCATCAGTCAGCTGCAGTGTCTAGTGGTACTTGGCATCTGGCACTAATTTGCATATGGCACTGCGGCATTATATAACATTTTGACAGCACCCCAGTGTCACCTGATCCCGGCCGAGCCAAAGAGAAAAAAATCCGCTCTCTCATTTACATACTTGGACACCGCGCGGCTAGCAAGGCTCTGTTCTTCTGAATTCTGCGTTGATATTACCGCTAACAATGTGGGAATGTTGATGTTATGGTCAATATTTAACTGTTTTGTTTAGTTTTTGGTCTGTTGTGTTCATTCTCGCCCACCTCACTCACTCGATTTAGATTTTGCCGCCGAAGCGGCTAGTTTACTGTACAATCCCGTATCCCTCCTGTAGACGGTAGTGAGTAGTTTACTGTGCATTCAGTATCCCTCCTGTGAAAGGTAGTGGCTAGTTTATTGTGCACTCCATACCCATCCTGTGGATGGTAGACTATCGATGCACAAAAGGCCTAGGAACTAGGCCTCAAAAGGGGGTTAACAGGAGTACATCTGGATTCATATCCATAACTGCCTTATCTGTTCCAGGCAGATTTAAGTTTTATTTGGAATAAACCTTGGTGACAGATACCGACAAATTGGTTGACAAAAACACGTAAGCAAACACTAGAACATAGAAAATGTTGCAGTCCTGGGACCTTGATCAAGGTCCCAGGACCGAAACGTTCTCTAGTATGTCCTAGTGTTTGCTTACGTGTCTTTGTAAACCAAGACTTATTTAACGAGTGTTTTATTTAATAGGCTCGTGGGCGATTAATCTTTCCTGAAAGACTGTGTGTGTGTAGCCCTTCGGGCAAAGAATTAGCTTAAAATAAACATCACTGTTTGCAGAGAATTCCTGGAGACAACGCCTTAGGGTTTTATCCAGACTGGCGTGTAAAACAAGGTTTGGAAAAAAAAGACACATGTCCCGTTCAGGACATTAAAGGAAACTTTCGCCACAAGTGGCGAAACGTACATAAGTGTCTCTTTTTCCACACTTTGTCGGTATCACCATATCATTTCTCAAAAAACGAGACTCGTTGACGTTTAACTTTTATAGAGAGACAAGATACAATGTATATTATGACAGTGCACAATACCCATAAATAGATGAATTTGGGTAGTCGATGAGTCACTGAAGCTAAAACCTTTGGTAGCTTCAAATTTAGGTTAAATACATGAGTGAGAGGGGTTGAATTTAAGTGTGACTTGCACGTGAGTTATTAGGGTTATCAGAGCTTATTCCTTGGGTAGCATTGGAAATGGGTTGGGCGAATATTTTTAAGTGAGTTTGGGTTTGAGAAGGACCTGCCTAGGCTCGACACAGCGACACGCTCTTTCATTGCACAGATTTATCGTCAATATTCTGAACAGAGCAAAATATTGTCCTTTTCAGAGCTTTTTTAAAGCTCTATGTACAACGAAACGTTATTCATTTACTATGGAGCTTGATCAAAGCTCTACGGAAGAGTTGTATCACTAAAGCTCTAAACAGAGCTATATTGAACTTAAATTGGTAATATATACCTGTAAAAAGGACCTGTGAACTTGTATTATCCAAAACATTACATAAAATCAACAAGTGCTTCTGTACACTTTCTCACCACGTACTTAGGAAAATAGTGCTTTTGTACACACTGCGTACACTTAGAAAAAAAGTTTTGTACAGCTTCACACCCCCTACACTTAGATAAATGCAGTGTTTTTGTACACTCTCTCCCCATGTACAGCTACGACAATTTTGTAATATCTTGTTCACTCTTTTCCATATTTTATAAAGTAATGAAAAAAATCTCTCAAAAATTGTAGATGGTCATTATTATTATTCCATTGATGCAGCTTAGTATAACTTTAAGAAAACAGTATTTGTAAACATACAGGGAACGTTCAGAAAATGACGCTCCTCAGACGCCGAATGACCCATTTGGACATAGAGCTTCCTAATATATAAAATAATAATGCCAAAAATAATAAAGCATGATACTACTACTACTACTACTACTACTACTACTACTACTACTACTACTACTACTACTACTACTAATAATAATAATAATAATAATAATAATAATAATAATAATAATCCACTCAACAAATATGCCGGTGAACCACTTTTTTTTACACTTATTATTTGTTTGTAATTTGACAGCAATATAATAGTTTTCCGCTTCCCCGCATGTTTCGATAACGGCGCTGTTGTCTTTCGACAGCGGTACTCTTGATTTCCGATAACGGCAAAGTTGTTTGTAAATACACGAAGTTATATCTAACTTTAAGCGTCAATGATGCATTGATGCGAATATATGAACAGCACCAGAGGTGAACAGAATGTTGCTGACCCTTGGTAAACTGTGTGTGTGTGTGTGTGGGGGGGGGGTCAGGCAGCAGTATTAAGGTCTTCAATATCTCAGTGTTAAATAACTGCTCAGCTCGTCTCCAAGTCCTTCACTAGACAGGTTTGCTCTCTGTCTTCTCCCAGGCCTTTTATTAGTGAAGTTTCTTCTCTCTGTAATCTTCCGGCCGTTTCATTAGCATTCTTTTATTCTCCCAGGCCTTTTATTAGTAAAGTTTCTTCTCTCTACAGTCTAGGCCTTTTACTGGTGAAGTTTCTTCTCTTTATTCTCCCAGGCCTTTTATTTTGAAGTTGTTCTATGTCTCCTCTCAGATCCTTTATTAGTGAAGTTTATTTTACCTCTCTCCTCCCATCTTCTCCCAGTGACGTTTCTTGTGTCTTCTCAATAGACCTAGCGAAGGTCTCCCACATTTTACATAAAAAATGCTTTTAGTGGGACAATGTTTCACTCTGTTAAGATATGATAAAGATCTTGACAGGTCAAAACGTTGTTATGGCTTCAACCCATCCCCCGTGGTTTATTATCCAACATTTTGTGTTACTGATTTATTTACACATTTATTAGTTATCAAATTATTAAATTAAATTAAAGTATTTATTTATTAAATTATGAGATTATTAAATTATTATTAAATTTACGCAATTATTTATAACCAGAAGAATGTACAGGGACTCGAACCGTGGTGCTGGCATGTAGCATCCCGTTTATTCATTGACCGTCGTTAATTACGTCTTCCCCTGAGTTTATCTATCTATCGTTTATTTCAGGTACGTGGAGCTTCATCCTCGAGCTCTACCTCATCTCTAAGACTTTTGGAAGCCGCAGAAGTAAGTCTAAGCTCATTTTGTTGTTATTTTTTGAGTTTAAAACGGGGCATGCGGATTTCTGGGTGAAGGATGTAACTGCGTATTTCTATGCTTTTGTCAAGGATAAAAATGGGGATTTCCATGCGGATTTCTAAGGATAAATGCGGATTTTTGTAATTTTTAAGGATAAAAGCGGATTATGTGAATTTTAAGGACGAATGCGGATTTAAGGATAGATGCTGATTTTTAAGAATAAATGCGGATTTCTGTGTTTTCTCTAAGTCTAGATAACTTGCGGAAGAAAACTCCTCCAATACAACACTTAGGACACTTAAATAGGCGGCATTTCGCCCATTGGGGCCTTTTTTCAGGTAAATTGAAAGAGCCCCCTCTGGGCGAAATGTCTACTCTAGTTAAATGTCCTAAATGTTGTATTTGTCTGTGTATGCCAGCGTCCGAGGGAAGTGTGACAGTTGTACTGGTCTCTGTGAGTTCTGTGACAGTTGTACTGGTCTCTGTGAGTTCTGTGACAGTTGTACTGGTCTCTGTGAGTACTGTGACAGTTGTACTGGTCTCTGTGAGTACTGTGACAGATGTACTGGTCTCTGTGAGTACTGTCACATTTGTACTGGTGTCTGTGAGTACTGTGACAGTTGTACTGGTCTCTGTGAGTACTGTGACAGTTGTACTGGTCTCTGTGAGTACTGTCACATTTGTACTGGTGTGAGTACTGTGACAGTACTGTCACATTTCATAAATTAGACACATGTGCAACACTTAGGTATTTTTATCGAGGGAAACGTTTCGTCACGCAGTGGTTTCATCAGTCCTATACAAAGATCAGAAGGTGTTTGAGGTAATCAGCCCCTCAGTCTGGAGTCGATATAATCAGTTCAATCAATCTTTAATTAAAAGAATATTGCATATGGGCGAAGTGGCTTATATACTGTAGACAGGTGAGGTGCAGCAGTCGTAGGCGATATCACAGTGAACAAACCCACAGGTGGAGGCAGGTCATGACTAAAGGTTAGGCAAGTAAAGAATTCCCTGTATCAAGGTGCCAAGATGTTGCTGTGTTCGACGTGAATGTAGATAAATGGTTCAGCGAACCGACAAGTTGATGAATGAAGCCACTCCGTGGGGAAACTTTTCCTCAAGTGTTACACATGTGTCTTATTCATCGACTCATCGGTAATGTACACCGTTAATGTATTTGTTCCGTCGAGATATTTTGCTTCTATTGATAGCAATTAAGGATAATTACTGTATACTCATTTTCTATTAATACGGTGTTTCCCATATTCCTTCGGTCTTTTCTATATTGTTCGAGTCCCTTTTAATTCATACCTTTACTTATGACGATTTTCGACAGTTACTACTCCCGGAGCCCGGCCATGGGCCAGGCTCGTTCAGTGTATAGTCTGTGTATAACACAAATTATTAAGGTATTTAATTCAAACGTGCTCTCTAAATTTATTTTCAATGGAGAATATTTTAAAGGGGAATATGTAAGGGGAGAATATATTTAATGGAGATATGTTCTGATGAATATTTTTAAGGGAGAATATTTCAAGGCAGTTTTTTTAAAGGGGAATATATTAATGGAGATCTATTTTGAAGAATATATATTAAGGGAAAATATTTCAGGGCAGAATATTTTATAGGGTAAATATGGCAGGGGAGAATATATTTAATGGAGATCTATTCTGAAGAATATATTTAAAGGAGAATATACATCAAGAAAGAATAATTTATGGGGAGTATGTATTTAATGGAAATCTATCCTGAAGGAGAATATATTTAAGGGAGAATATTTTATGGGCGAATATTGAGTATTTTTTTATATTTGAAATCAAATACGAGGGTCATTAAGGTTTAAGTGTAAATATATAATAACACTAATAATATCTTAGTTATTAAAATGACGATATTATCTTTATATTCACAAACACACACACACACACACACACACACACACACACACACACGGCAAATTGACTGTCGGGGCCAGGAGCTAAAACTCGACCCCTTCAACAACACAGAGGTGAATACACACTTGCCGGAGTATACCACCTGAGATATACGCCGCTGTATGTTTATATACACTAAAGGATACGCAACTCTGTGTGCAAACGCTGGGAGGTACGTAGCTCTTGTCTACGTTTCCTAGGATTAACACACCCAGTTTTTTTTCTCCCTCCCAGTTCCCAGCTTTCTCCATCCCAGTTCCCTCCTGTCAGTTCCCAGCTTTCTCCATCCCAGTTCCCTCCTGTCAGTTCCCAGCTTTCACCCAGTTCCCAGCTTTCTCCATCCCAGTTCCCTCCTGTCAGTTCCCAGCTTTCTCCATCCCAGTTCCCTCCTGTCAGTTCCCAGCTTTCTCCCAGTTCCCAGCCGCCTCCCATCCTCCTCCTAGTTTCAGCGTCATCATAAAACATTGTCTACTTCCTCAATGCTTCACAACTACTGTTCTTTTTCAAGAGCAGACCAGCCTTCATTAGCATATAGGAGGCGGGCGGCCTCTTCCCACGACCATGAGGCGGTTCTTTAGGGTGGGCGGCTAGGAGGGAAGGGGGGCGTGGGTGGCGATTGGCTAGGTGAATCAGTAGCGGATGGCTAGGAGGAAGGAGGGCGGAGGATTCTCCGTCTGAAAACCTGAGAAGCCTAGCGATAGGCGGAACTTCAGACGGAAACCTTTGACCTTTTAGCATAAGTTCTCTAAGGCCACTAGTACATACCCGGATAATGTCAGCAGTAACAGCCTAGTTCATCAGACCCTGATCCACCACAAGGCCGGGCAGCGGGGGCGTTGACTCCCGAAACCCTCTCCAGGTATACTAAAGGTAATATATACCCAGTAAGGTCTATAACGCCACTAGTATATACCAGGTAAGGTCTATAAAGCATTTAGTCATACGCATTAGCTCTATGAAACAGAGACAAAGAGACAGAGAATATTAGATATTTAAAGTAGATGGAAAAATGGGACAAAAATCTCAATTTTCACAAACAAATGAAGAAATTCAGAACAAGTCTGATATAATCTCTGTTTCCTCTCAAATACTTCCCTCTCCTTCCTTCCTTACTCTTATACACTAATCCCTCCCCCATCATATCTCCCCTCTTTCTCTCTCCTCACCATGCTGTTTAATCCCCTCTTTTACCCCCCTCCTATGCTTACTATGTTACCTCACGTTTTTTTCCTTTAACAATGTTTTTAATCTCTCCCCCACATGCTTTAACCTCCCTCTTTCACTCCACCTCCCTCTGCTCACTGTTACCCCCACATGATTCCTTCCCTCTCCCCCACTTATCCTGAAGACTTCCACCCCTTCTCCCCCTCCCCTCCCCAGGAATGGTGACGGGGGGGAGAAGGTTATGTATGACTTCCCTTAGCTGTGGCATATTCAAATTTCCCAGACAGTTATGAAGAACGTAAATCATGTGATGGGAGGACAGCAGAGAAGGCGTGGTAATGGCAGATGAAGCAGCAGCAGCAGCAGCAGCAGCAGCAGCAACAACAACAACAGCAAAAGGAGGGGATGATTAAGAGAAAGAAAATTAAGAGGAGAGGTAATGGGAGATGGAGCAGCAGGAGGAACAGCAGTATTAAGAGGGGGGATGATTAAGAGTAGAGGGGAAGATTAAGAAGAGGCGAGGAAAGGAGGAGGGGAAGATTACCAACAATAGATGGGGAAAATGAGGGGAAGATTCAGATGGGGACGAGGAGAAAATTAAGAAGGAAAAGAATGGGGTAGGTGGGGAAAAGGGTGTTAAAGTAGAAGAGAGGATTAAAAGGAGAGAACACTAAGGAGAGGAGGAAAGGAAGATTAAGAAGAGGGGGAGAGGAACATTAAGCAAGGTGTAATAACCTACAAAATGTAAGCAAAAGGAATAATTTTAAAAGTAGGCAGATGAATATTTTTTTTTTTTTTACTGAACAGAACTCAGTGTTATAGTGAACAGAGTGAAATAGGAGTCTGCCATAGTGAAAAGTTCTGTTCCCCGAGACAGTACCCGTCCCACTTCTCTCTCTCATTCTCATATCTGACAGAGACATAAATCATAGCACTTTATCATCCTGTGCAGACAATACAAGAATCTGTATTAGCGTGGCATCCATTAAGGACACAGTAAACCTCCCAGCTGATATAAACAAAGTCTTCCTGTGAACCACTGACAGTAAAATGATGTTGTATGAGGACAAGTTTCAGTTACTCCGTTTTGGAAAGATTGAGGAAATAAAGGCTGGAGCAAAGTATAACAAACTCAGATCACTCAAAGCGTAAGACTAATGTGAGAAACATAGGGGTGATTATGTCAGAAAGCCTCACTTTCAAGGATCACAACAGTGTCACTATCACAACCTTAAGGAAAATGATAGATTGGATAACTAGAACCTTCACAACAAGAGATGCCAAACCAGTGATAATAGTCCTCCAGTCCCTTATTTTCTCTCGATTGGAGTACTGCTGTACTCTAACAGCTCGGTTAAAGACAGGCAAAATTGCAGACCTGGAGAATGTGCAGGGAACCTTCGCTGTTCACATTGTCCGCTACATCGGAACGATAAAGAACAAAAAGGCACAATACCGTGACTGGAACAATACACAAATAACCCGCACATAGAAGAGAGGAGCTTACAACGACGTTTCGGTCCGACTCGGACCATTTACAAAGTCGTAAGCTCCTGTCTCCTACGTGCGGGTTGTGTATATCGGAATATTAAAAAACAGTAAAAAAAAAAAATGCACTAAAGTACAATACTGTATACATTATTACAGTATATTTGCAAACTGTGTATACAGTACTATTACATAAGTTCAATCAAGCACCTAACTTACTGGGAACATTTGAAGTCCCTCGATCTGTACTCCTTGTAACGTTGGCGAGAGACATAATTTATAACCTGGAAAATTCTAGAACAACTGATCCCAAATCTGCTCACGCAATTCATTTCCCAAAAAAGTGAGAGGCAGGAGTAGAGTGAAAACACTAAATGAAACTTAAGTGTGAAGGGACCA